TTATGCACAAACAATGAATCATGGAACACTACATCAAAAACTAATGATGTAATGTATGGTGATTAACATAACAATAAAAAAATGAAAAAAAATTTAATGCAACTGTACTGTGATATTTTGTATTTGCCAGCTTTGTCTCATTACTAACACTGTGAGATTTATCCATGTTCTTAAGTATAACTATAAATCATTTCCTTTGCTACATAGTATTCCATCATGGGACTAAACCATAATTTATCTATCAGACTATTGATGATGGACATTTGGATAGTTTCCTGTTTGGAGTTAAGAGCATCTTTCTATATGTATTTTAGTGAACATATGCTCATGTTTGTTTTTTTTTTTTAAAGATTTTATTCACTTTATTTGAGACAGAGAGCACATGAGAGGGGGGAGTATCAGAGGGAGAAGCAGACTCCCCGCCGAGCAGGGAGCCCGATGCGGGACTCGATCCCGGAACTCCAGGATCATGACCCGAGCCAAAGGCAGTCGCCCAACCAACTGAGCCACCCAGGCGCCCTATGCTCACGTTTCTATTGAATGTATATTTAGAGGTGAAATTGCTGACTCATGGTATATACTATATTCAGCTTCAATAGCTACTACCTGTTTTCCAAAGTATCTGTACCAATTTACATTCCCACACTCTACATCCTTACCAACTCTTAATTAAAAAATCTGGTTTAATTAAAGGTAAATTACTCAATATTTATTAGCTCCAGGCTTTAGCTTAAAACTTCACAAGAGGGCAGGATTTCATTTTTTAAAAAAAGGGTAGGGGGGGGATTATGACTTAGCTTAGTTTTTTAGTTAAAGAAACTGAAATATATTTTAGGTGACTTAACTCTATTATTGCCAGAATTTTCTAATAAAGAATCATCTTTATTTTTCCCTTTGCTGTTAGTAACATTTTTTTGAAACCACCATGAACGGGAACAAATTCTTCATACAATCCAAATCATTGTGTATTTCTGACTACTCTGTAGGCCACACCGTTGATTTCCAACTCTGAGGAACTAAGTGGTCTAAACTCTGGAAAGAATCTGAGTTAAGCAACTGTGCTCATCAAGAATTAAATGCATGTAATCACTTCCATATACTAAAGTATTGATCAGCAGCCTTGAACACAATTTGTGCTAACATTTCAAACAATGTTATGCTCCTTGCAGTGCTGGATCTTCAATTTCATGTATTCCAGTCATGCTCAAGAAGAGATAATTAGAAGATTTCCCATGGGTTATAGCATTAAAAAATATTTTTTTTTTATGAAGCCCATAAGTTGCAATGGCCCTTTCCTATCATAATACGGGCTCTAGTTATTATGATGGCATTTCATGTTTTGTAAATAAACTAATTAAATGCCTACATATATGTAAGTACAGATACTTGTTAATACTGGATCTTAACATATTCTCCATGAGGTTACTGTTCACTGGGATAAAGAATCAATAAGCAACACTGGAGCAAGTAAGAGCTCAGTGAAAGACTCGAAATCATTGCTGAGAAAGTGACCATCACAGAGTTTCTGGTAATAATGGTATGATTATTTGGATTAACCCTCTCACTGAAAACAGTGCAAGATGCCAGATAAAATATAAAAAAAAACAAAATCTTAAAAGTATTTGAGATCTGAAAAAGACAGCAGGGGAACTTTCAGACCAATTTCCTGAATGAAATAATTAGTGAGTGGAGTAGACCACGTGAGCACATAACTGATTGTGCCACGGAGGTGCCTACCAGTAACACAAGCCGCACGCTCCATGGGGGCCACCAGGGCCAGGAAGAAAGGTGTGAGTCCAGGACTTCCCAGCCTATGCAGTTTTGTATCGTCTCCTACCCTGAGCTGGGCACTGAGAAGAGGGGGGATTACACTCTCGGAGTAATAGAGAAATCATTCTAGTGATACAGTGATCAAGTCACCAAGCCCTCCACACACATTCACACTCCTGGGAACTGCTAAGGAGGCTGCCCTGGGAAGTTATGATCTCAGACCTATAGTCTATTTTACTTAAAGGTCTGTATTTTACTTAAAGAGAGCTGCTTTTTAATTTCAGCTTTTAATAAGTTAATATGCATAATGTAAATTTTAGGGTAAGCAGTAAAAGAACAGGGAGTACCTAAATACTAACATTCTACAGAGAAAATTTAATGCAAAAAAAAAGTCATTAGGAAGAAAGATAAACTGGAGGTGAGAAAAGAGAAAATATGTATGACAAAGTCTGAAAGAAGATGGTACAATGAAGCCCAATATACTAACAATTACAGTCAATGTAAATGGAGTACATGCTCCTGTGAAAAGTTAAATATTGGTCCAAATTAGACTTTTTAAAAATGCTATACAATATTTACATGACACAGATCTAAAATATATGGAAAGAGCTGTTGGAAGGAAAAAAATGAAAGAGCTCTATCAGCAAATATGAAGCAAAAGAAAGTATGTGTGATTACATTAAATGAGACAGAAGAGGCCTTAAGGCAAAAAGCATAACTGGAAATAAAGGTCACTTCACAATGAAACAAAGGTCAATTTCACAAAATGACACAAGAATTTTAAATTTTCATGCACCTAATAACACGGCCTCAAAATACATAAAATAAAAACAATTACATAAGGAGAAATAAATTCATAATGGCCTTAAAGGAGACTTATACACACCTCTCTCAGTAAGTTATAGAAAAATGACACAGAAGTCAAAATCAAAATCACACAAATACCTTGACAGGCATTTCATAAATATTCTTAAACAGCCAATAAACATTTGAAAAATAACTCAGCTTCATTAATAGTCTTGATCCTACTCTTTAAAACTATGGTGAAATATCATTATATATTCATTCATTAAAAGCCTGAAATAACAGGAGTTGAGAAGGATGTGGGGATCAGGTACTGCACTGCTGGTGTGAATATAAACTAGTACCAACTCTTGGAAAACACTATGGCATTTTCTAGACAAAATGAGTTTTTAAATATTCTATAACCACTAATTCCATTCCTAAGTATGTATCCTAGAAATACTGCATGCTTACGTGGTGCAAAATACAAAAACAAGAATCTCCACAGCAATATTTTGTAAATGCCAAAAACCACAGAGCCTAACATCTACCAAAAAAAATAAATAAATAAATAAGTAAATTGTGATATCTGCATAGACTCAGATTTCAACACTGGGATACAATACACTGATGAAAAATTAAACCATAAAGATACTTAACAACACAGATACTCTACAAAGACTGAGCAAAAAAAGTGAGTCACAAATGAACATATAATATTGACACAAAGTACAAAAGCAGACAAAACCAATCTATATTGTTTAGGAATGCATACACAGGCCTACAAAGGAATACATGTGAATGATTACTATGAAAGTCAGAATAGTGGCCCCTCTCTTGGGAGGAAAGGAATCATGATTGAGGGGAATTCAGGGCTATGGTCATGGTTTTTTAACCAAGTGGCAATTTCTCAAGCACTGGCTTTGCAACTATTTGTTAAACCACACACGTTTTAAGGCACTTTTCAAGAGGAGGAGGAGAAAGAGAAGAAAACAATCATAAATTGGTAGAAATTTTCTACCCTTAAAAAATAATTATTCCCTCTCTCTTGAAACATGTGTCCTCAGAGTCCCCAAATGCCATGTAAGAAGTCAGGCCACCCAGAAGTCACTCTGCTGGAGAGGCCACTTGGAGGATGGAGAGTGCCTGAAGAGTCCCAGCTGCAGGCAGACATGTGAGTGAATGAGCCCTCAGATGATTCCAGTCCCAGGCACCACTGAGTACAAGAACTTGAAAGACCCCAAGTTAGAATTGCCTTACTGAGTTCAGTCAACCCCTAGAACCACTAGAGAAAGTAGGAAAATGATAACTAGGGTACTCATCTTACCTGGCTTCTTTTCTTGAGACTTTCTGTGAGTGAGAATGAAATCACATAGCCTCTCCTCCCTCCTCTAAAGTCAGCACTCGACTCACCTAAGGATCGCTCTAAGGCGGAGCTTCTGAAATGTGTGCAATTTCACTGCCCAGAAGACATATGGCAATTTGTAAAGACCTTTCTGTTTGTCACTGAATGGGGAAGGAGTATGCTACCCACATCTAGTGGGTAGAGGCCAGGGACACTGCGAAACATCCTACAATGACCAGGAGAGCCACCACAACAAGGAACAGTCCATCCCCAAATGCCCATAGTACCAAGACTGAGAAACTGCTCTAAGAGTTTATGTGGTTGGGTACAGCAAATAACCAGCAAAGAAGCAAGAAGCAGCAAGCTGGGAGTAAGGTGTGGACCAGAAGGGAAACAGAATAACGAGCACAGGCAATCCCAAAGAAGTCAACAAGGTGGGAAGACACTTCTTATGTTCATCTCATTGGGGGGGGGGG